CTCAAATCTTAGGAGGATGTTTCCTATCCAAGTCAGTGTTGATGCACTGAAATCCATCTCCCAGTTAAGCGTAGTAGCCGCGTACGGGCCGGCCAAATTTTTTTTCGGTGAGTTCATAACTCGGGAATTTGAGAAGCTAAAACGCTCAAATCTTACTGTGATGTTCCCCATGCAAATCGCTGTTGATGCACTGAAACCCATACCCCAGGTAAGCGTGGTAGTCGCGTACGGGCGCGCCGAATTTTTTTTTTTTGGCGAGCTCGTAACTCGGGCCCGAGGAGCACCAAACTTTGACAGGTCTGTCGATGACTTCCTTTTTCAAACAATGCTTTCAAGCAGGCTCCTGGCAATTTCGACTTTCCGGCATATGCCAGTACCAATTTACCATCGAAACGAATGAATGGTGATGAGGGGGTTTAAGCATTATAGAACCGGTGCAGTCGAAATTTAGCTAAAATTTTCAAAGGTTCGATTTTTACATTTGGTCCTCGCAAAAATCCACTTTTATTTCAGAAACAATTCGATCGTTCTGTCCTGTGCAGGTTTTTATGGCGATGTCTTGCAACTGAAACGATTGTTGGAGGTGATTTTTGTCAAGTGATAAATGCAAGCGTAATTGCCCTCAAATTACATTTTTAGCAAAAATTGCTGAAAAAAGCTACTGTTTCTGCAAAAAACTTAACAGCAACGTTAGTAGGTAATAGAAAGCTATATTAAAAAAATGAAATGGAAAAAAGAAAAAAAAAAAGGGAAAAGGAAGGTAAGAAATGAAGATTAGGAAAGTTTTGAGATTATTAAAATGGTAAAAAGTGTTTTGGTTCATTAAGTCGTATACATTTCTTACCATTACCACAACTGGAGCTCATAAACAGTCAGTTTAATATTTCTGTCTGGATGAACAAAGAGGGGAGCAGGGCTTGGATTATGGGTATTTTAACCCACTGGATGATGCAACAACAGTGCAAAAGCGTTTCGGTCCATTAAGTCGTACACATTTCTTACCATTACCACAATTGAACCTGATGAGCAGACAGTTTAATCTTTCTTTCTGTGTGAACAAAGAGTGAAGCAGAGCCTGGATTATGGGCACTTTAACCCCCACTAGACAATAACAGTGCGATGAAAATGCTTCCTGTAGCTGCATTAGTTGCTTTTTCCTGTTAGAGGCTTTGCGGTACAGTTTGAACAGCATTTCTGGTACTGAAGGGACTAGTTTCACTGCGTCCATTTCAGCAAAAAATTGGCAATTGATTGTTGTCGAACAAGTTAGAATTCCAAGCATTATCAGTTTTTTTTCACTGACAATTACAGAATGAGACAAACATTGATTGTAAGCAGGCCGCTTCCATGGTTTTGTGTTTTTTCTGTATAGCTTGTAGATTTAGTGAGAAAATAATTTTTTTCGGTTTTGAAGTCGAAAAGCTGCTTGCTAGAAACATAGATGGATGATAGTGTCACTGTTATCGTACCTAGACAAAAGCAGATATAGGGAAAAAATGATTTTTTTCCTGTTCTCAGCTTTGGGGTTTGAAGAGTTGTTTGTAAGAGATGCAGATGGATGAAAGTAGAGCTTTTTTATCGTATTTTGACCGAGATACCACCAGTGCTTCTAAAAATCTTTCTTTCGTTTCGAATCTAAGCTGTTTGTAGCATCCATGTTGATGGGTACCAGAGTAAGGGAAGTGTATATAAAGAGGAAAAAATAGGAGAAAAGTAGTAGGAAAACAGTTGAGTTAAGACGTTTTGGGTCTGACATATGTGAGGGAGTCAAAATTACCATTAGCTTTCTTCGAAGCAGTCCGCGGAAAGGAAACCATGGGCAGCCTAGCGCAGCTTGTGGTTTCCACTGGTAATCCCTGTTATCTTTTCTGGGTTTTCTCCCATTATTTTTGCCTCTTAAAGAGGATAAATGCAGTTTTAACTATCATGACGTTTTGAGGTTTGAGGAGGTCAGGAAACCGGTATATTTCATTGCTTTTATGTTTACAGCTGCAGCAGTTGTACAAAACGCATATTGTCATGACCCTGTCTGTGCGTATGTGTCTGTATGTGTTTTGAATGCATTTTTCATATATATTTTCCAGGCACGCTTGCATAAATATCGTTTTGATTATCGTACCGATATGACGGTCGATCTGTGTGCGGAGCTGTTATCACGCAATCTCTACTATCGTCGTTTCTTCCCCTACTACACAGGCGCAATACTAGCTGGCATCGATGAGAACGGTATTTCTCCAAAAACATTCTTGTTTTGCTCATGCTTCTACAAGATGTATGGCCGCTGTAAGCCGTGTGCAGCATATGGTGCTCATGGAAACAAAAAGGGGAAGACGTGATAAAATTCGGTAAGAAAGAGAGGTATAAAAGAAGGTCAAAGCGAGATAAGGTGTTTCGGTCCGTTAAGCCATATATGCCTTTATTGGACAGGCTGGATCAGTTGAAATCTTCCTAACCTGATTCTTCAGTTATGCAATTAGTAACTTTACTGGGTTATTGGAACTAAGCGGAGCATGTACCGGTGGACAAGTCGCGGTGCAAGTGTATTTCATCCCTTAGCTGTAAACACAGACAGTGCCGTATGTCCAAGTAGGAGTAGGAATCATCATTGCAGCCCTATATCCGCCATGCACAGCAATGTACATACTTATATATGGCGTGGGTGTAGTTGCTATAAATTGGCTAAATCATGCAAACTTTGAGGTTTTTTGACAATTCAAGACTGTTTTTCTCGTGTACACGTAATTTTTTACGCATATGCAGTAGCGAGTATGCTGGCTGACACATGAACTGTGACGAGAACATCACCTGCTTCTACTATAATGGATTCCGGCTTGGTAGGGTGAA